CCTCGGTGGTCTCCTTGTTTGTGAGATGAAGCCTCACTACTCCAAGTGGGTGTCCCGTGGACCAGCAGCACCAGCATCACCTGGGAGCTTGTTAGAAATGCAGAATCTCAGGCCCACCCCAGACCTGCTGAATTAAAAACTGCATTGTATCAGGATCCCCGGGTGATGCTTTTGCACATCCAGTTTGAGATGCACTGGGATAAAGTCCAGGCTTGGAATGCAAGAATATGTACTTCATCCCAACCCCAGCAAGACAGCCTGCTCCCTTCAGGTTGAGCTCTAACTGTACCAAAATGCTCTCAGTCCCCTAAACTAGGTCTGGTCCGGTGCATTGTTGCCCCTACTTTTCCCTCTGCCTGAAATGTCCTTTGCCTGTTCATTCACCTGGTATCCTCCGAGAACCACTCCAAACGTCCTGTCCTCTGGGAAGCTTTGCGCAACCCCCTTCACAGTAGGCCTCTTTTCTGGGCTCACAGCACCTCGCCCCAACACCCACCCCAGCACGCATGACACTGTTTAGTAATTGGGTTTCGTGTCTGGCTTCCCCACCAGCATGGCAGCTCCTCAAAGCAGCAGCCCGGTCACCTTTTATCTTCCAAGTGCCCAGAACTGTCCCGGGACCCTAATAGGGGCTCCATAAAGGTTTGTTAAATTACCACCTCACTTTATCGAGTGCTTATTTTGTTCCAGGTTCTAAGTGCTTTAGATTCATTATGTCACTTAATCCTTACAGCTGCCCTCAGAAGTAGGTGGTACAAACCCATTTTGCAGATGAGAAAATCGAGGCTTAGAGAGGTTAAAGCACTTGTCTGGGTTCTCTAGTAAGAGGCACAATGAGCCTTTGAGAGTGCAGTCAGCACTCAGAACAGCCTCAGGGCAGAAAGAGACCCGGATGTTTGGGGAAGAAGCAGGGGAAGGCAGCCAGACCGCTTGGGCAGTGCCTCATCCTCTGGAAGCAGCGGTACCTGCATCTCAGGTGCCTGCTCTCTGCTCTCTGAATTATAGTATGGATTGGGGCTCTGAGGCAGACGGCAGCTGCTGCTCCTCCACCCTCACTCCCATTTTCCCCACCAGCCCATGCAGGTGCTGTTCTCAGGGGAGGCCACCCACCGCAAGTACTACTCCACTACCCATGGTGCTCTACTCTCTGGCCAGCGAGAGGCAGCCCGCCTCATCGAGATGTACCGAGACCTCTTCCAGCAGGGGACCTGAGGGCCTTCTTCACTGCCGAGCGTGTTCCTTCAAGAACCACTAACTCGTGACTGCCAGCCCTTGCCCTCTGCTGCCATGTGCTCCTAATCTCCTAACCCACTATAGGATGCAGTTTTCTCTTTTGTAGAGATAGACGCCCTGACTGGCTTCAAACCTGGCCCTGTAGCTTTCTTTCTGGTTCTGACCAGGTTGGGGCCCGTTGACTTACCTCTTCCTCTGACCCCTGACCTCCTTGTGCAGCCCTGCCTCTCCTGCCTCGTTATTGTAAGTGCCTTCAATACTTTGCATTTTGAGATAATAAAAAGAGGCTTGCCTTTCCTGTGCTCCTCAGCTTCTCTCTTCTGTTGTCCTCAGCCCCTGTGTTTTCTTCTTTTTTTAATCACACCTCCTGTCTTAGTTATCTAGTGCTGCTGTAACAGAAATACCACAAGTGGATGGCTTTAACAAACAAACGTTTATTCTCTCACAGTCTAGTAGGCTACAAGTCCAAATT